AATCAGATCAAGCCCGAACAGCCCGATGTTATAGGGAGTTGTAGTTTCCAACAGGCCAATATTCTACATAGTTTAGCGCAGAGAGAACGGACAGAAGAATGCGTGATGGAGAGGGATAGAGGGGAAGTTGCTTTGCGAGGCATCTCTACCTGAAAATACATGATCTAAATGATTGATCGTTTTGTATTCAGCAGTCATAAAAGTATGCCTTATTTACTTTGAAGAACTACTGAAATAGTGATTATGTCAGGCAGCAGCTCTATAGCGATGAGATGAATTGGAATTAAATAAAGTAATCAAATAAAACATTTTATTAAAGTAATGTGAATAAATGATGGTTAATAAGTGATAAGCAGTAATGGGCGTCGGTCACTACCATCATGGGACTATTATTAACTGTTTTATTCTGTATTTGTTACAGCATTCAACCCACAATGCATAGTGCATTTAATGTTGAAAATAATTATCGAAACCGAAAACGTGACTATTTTTTAAATAATCACACCGAAACAGACCTCAAAAAGCACTAATCGCTCAGCACTAGTACCGCTAGACTAACTGAGACCAACCTCCAGCGCGACTGCCATTTCAAATGACGTCAGAAAATGACAGCAGATAGTTCATTGCCCCTAAAATTGTCCAGAATATTGACATGTTTTACGTTTTCATGTTTGTTTTCAAACGACGGCCCCTTTTGTACTTGAAATTGGTCTCGGGTACATTGGGTCTTGGATTGGATCTCAAGGAGTTGGGTTTTAGTCTGGGTTTCAAGGGGTTGGGTCTTGGTCTGGGGAGTTCCGGTCTTGACTTCATCTGTGGTTCCAACTGACACACTCGCATACGGGGTGTTGTCCAGGTCTGGGATTTTCATGCACAATTCACGGCGGCCCACTCTGGTCTCCATTTCCTCTTTTACAGGCTGAGGCTGTGCTGATCTGTTGACACACCTTTGATATCTCTCTATTCCCTTTAAGCTCTTTGTTTTGTTCTGGGCTCGGTGAGGTAATAATGAGGGGGCATAATCTGGATGGAGAGGATCCTTTGACGGCTTGCCTGGAAAACACAGTTCACAGGCTTGGTATTAAAGCTATGTGAGAAGTCAAGGAAAATGACGGTAACAATACTCAAGTCACATGATTTAAAGTCCATGTTCACAATGTCTCTTAACTAAAACATTAAATAGAGCGCTGCATAATTTAATGGTCTCAAAACCAGTTTACTGAGGGAAATAGAAAGGAAGAACAAGAAAAAAAAACACCATGAAATTAAAAACACAGTTGTTTTATAATGGATTTAATTAATGATAACTTTACCCACTGAGTATCTACCTCTTAGGCAGCGGTTTAGCCTCTTTTAGAATCCAAGATTGAAATACTTAGATAGCTACACTCCTCTCTAACATGTGGGCTCAGCATTCCCAAACTGTAAGAATGTTGAACAAACTTCATTTTAACTTACTTTACCTGTCGTCCGCCGATTTTGTCCCTATGTCGGATGTAATCGGATACAAAATATCCACAGGAAAGCGCTATCAACCCGACTTTCAGTATGCTGGTCTGTGTATCTCCGTTTTCTATTTTCAATACCGACATCATTCGCACACGACAAACACTTGCACAATATGGCCGAGCCTAACCGAACCACAGACTGAATGTTGTCACACGCAATCGGCTGGAAAATGTCAAACACTTGCAGCTGATTGCGAGGAAATGCTTTGGTCAACTGCCTTCGGTTACATTCCGCTATTGTTTACATTTTAGCTATTTACATATTGTGCATCACCTGCATGGGTCAGGAGATTGAAAATACAAGTGACAACCTACAGCGCTGTAAAAAGTCAGGTAAACAACACTTTCCTGCGATTACCCTATCTCCTCCACCTACCATCAAAAGGACCAACAGCATGTAAAACACTCTCCTGAGTGGCGCAGTGGTCTAAGGCACTGCATCGCAGTGCTAACTGTGCCACTAGAGATCCTGGTTCGAATCCAGGCTCTGTCGCAGCCGGCCGCGACCGGGAGACTCATGGGCGGCGCACAATTGGTCCAGGGTAGGGGAGGGAATGGCCGGCAGGGATGTAGCTCAGTTGATAGAGCATGGTGTTTGCAACGCCAGGGTTGTGGGTTCAATTCCCACGGGGGGCCAGTATAAAAAAAAAAATATTCACTACCTGTAAGTCGCTGCTAAATGACAAAAATGTAAGTGTGAATATCATTTTGTTCAACATTCTGGCTTGTAGCCATGGGGTAACCATGGTAACAGTCTGACGTTTAGGCAAGCATCTGTCCTGCCCTGTGTCATGTAAAAAATCTTCCCAGCGTGAAATCGTTCCCAATCGTTCTGATTTGATTGTAACGTTATGTTGTAAAATTGCTCACAAAAAACAACAACAAATTAGACACTTTCTATCTATCATACTGCAATATCCCTAGCTATGTGGTTAACTTGTTAAACTTACCAGTAATGAAGTGTGCGCTGCATACCCTTGCATTTGACGTTGGCGTCCAACCACCTCGTTTTACAGCAAGTATCCATGTATCCCGCTGTGCTGCTCCTTGTGGAAATATATAAACTTTAATTTCTGTCAATAGGTTTGTTCCCGATCGTCGGGAGCACCCTACCACCGAACAACATTGTCCAAAGCTTTTTACTCTCTGCATGACACTCAATTTCCTAATATTACTAGCCTAATCCGAGGAGTTAGCTAGATAGATTATTAGACTTTCTTTAGCTGTTGGTTTACATTCGCACCGGAAGTTTTCTGGGAACAACGGTTGCGGCACACTTCCGTACGTAGCTCCTTGAAAATGGTTCCCACCTGAGCGATATAGGTTCCCGCTATGGCCAAGCTGCAAAGTCAACATTGCCTATATCGTGAAATATATTGGATAGAATATGGCTATAAATTAGCTAGAATCGAATATAATTAGAATAGAATATAACTGTATTGTCCCTCAAAATGGTCAATATGTCTTTGTTTTAGTGCCAACAATATGACAAGGACATGTTGTACACAAACGCCTTAATCACACCGATAGTATTAATAGGCAAAATAGTACGCGGCATCATCTGGATATGTGTGCAACAAAAGTTCAACATTCATCTTCTGCTACCATTTCTGTCAAGCCGTCTACGCATACATTTTGAACGTATGCACCACACAGAACGCCCTACATTTGCTTCTGCAAGGCAAACGCAGCGTTCCATTGGAAACGAATGTACTTCTGGTGTATCAAAATGCAACGACACTGTCGGAATCAAGTGCTTTCATTCACATAATGGAATACACGCGTACACACACACACTAATCTGTAATCAAAACTACTAGACTGATCATGGAACCTGAATTTAGGTCAATAAAATGAACTGATCAGGGGCATATCCATTACACCAATTCTGTTGCAAAACGGGGCGGGACCTACCTGAATTTGTCCTATAGAAACTCGTTTTAGTTGCAAAACTGCTATTGCTATATTGGATGTAGTTAGCGCAACATAACTTGACAGGTTTCAGCAGTACAAAGGCGTTGGGTTATATGAAGTTCAGAAATGTGATTGTACTTGTTTATAATGTTGACCTTAAACAAGGAAACTGAAATAATAATTAAATACATATATAAAAAAATATATAAAAAATTAGATTGGAGTTTAACACTAGTCTTTGTGGGCATGTGGTGGTGATGTAATGCAGAGAATGGAAGCAGGAGACCATATTATTTGTGTGATTCAGTTCAATCTACCCATGTGTTCCAGTCACAGCAACACCATCCCATGTATGACACCATTTTAATACAACTATCCACATGACAGTAGTGTTAAATGATGTGAGAACGTGACTGAACGTTTCATCACTTACTGTAGCTAATTCCAGCATGCAAAGCGACTTGAATTCACCCCGTTCCCTCTCTCACAGTGCTAGTGTGACTGAGATGACATGGGATGAAATGAGGAATGCATTTGAGGGGTGGAGTGAGACAGTGGATGGGTCTAAAGAAACTAATGACATCCAGTGGCTCGCACTCACGCACGCACGCACTCACGCACTCACACACACACCACCATTTGTAGAGTGTCCTGGGTCACAGGCTAGCTCCAGTCAAAATGTGTGGTCAAGGGTGTTTGTGAGGATTTGCAGAGCTGCCAAGGGGCATAAAAACACTATGATCTGCAGAGTCTCCAAGGGGCATAAAAACACTATGATCCGCAGAGTCTCCAAGGGGCATAAAAACACTATGATCTGCAGAGTCTCCAAGGGGCATAAAAACACTATGATCCGCAGAGTCTCCAAGGGGCATAAAAACACTATGATCTGCAGAGTCATGTTATATGTGTAAACCCAATAAGGATGTGATCAGCACAACATAGAAAATCAGGAAATGAATGATTAGACACAACAATAATTCATTCTGCAATGAAAATACAAAATACAACTTAGTCAAGGTCAGTCATCTGTCATTACTAAGGTGCATTTTTTTTTTCACACTTGTTTACAAGGAAGGAATCTTACTCCTCAATGTCCGAGGGCAGAAAATCATCAATTCCTGATAATGCACATATTCATTTTAACATTAAGTAGCATCTCTATTTAAGTGCACACTAGTTCTATAATACGAATTTTGAGACATACATGACTCAGAGGCCATCCTCATTTAGGACATTATTTTATTCCTCTATTATGTATTTAAACCAATAACCAATAAAGAGAGAGCAGTGAACACACTTGTTCTAGTGATTGTCTGAGCATAGTTAGTATACACAATTATTTTACAAAATAGAACTGGACATTGAATTCAAAATAACAATCCCCCACTTCACTAACCAAGGACATGATGGTAGGATTGTCTAGCATTTAAACTGCAGAAGAATGACATGTAAACAATGAATAAGAGTACATTTGAGGCTCTAGTTGAAAAGCCAGCATTTAAAAAAAAAACTATCTAATAGGTTAAAAAAGGCAATACAGAACGTTTGCCTCTGGGGGTGCTCTTGAGCCAAATGGGGTCCCCTAAATGGACAGAAATATTGCTAATCAATCACCTCATTGGACAGAAAGGTGCACACCTCTCCACACCATGAGTAGAAGCATATTCTTAATTATGTGGTTTCATGAGTTAAGAAATTGACTAATGTTCTATCATATGTGTATATGAACTGTACAGCCTCTTTAAGTAATGTGGAATGACTGGAGTTACTGGATCAATTACTATATTGCCCACCAGCACTGCAAACAGAAGGGGAGGCCTCTTCAGTGGAATGTCACACGTGAACCTTTGACACAAAAAAGATAACCATTACTCATAATTAAATTGCATTCCAATTAAACTTCTTGGCCTAAGGAGATACTGACAAGATACTGAGAAAGAGCTGAGTTTTTCATGCTATTATAGTTTTTTCCTTTCAAATGAAAATACACTAGTGTTTTATTATATACTTACAGAAGTCATCTGCTTAAAAATGATCCCTTTAGAAGTTGGGCAACAGTTTGTAGTGAGGGAATAGGGAGAAAAGAAAATAACTTAAAAACAGTCTTATGAGTGCTATAAAAAAACAACCATAATAGATTGTCATGTGCATATTACATTATGTCTGCCTATGTGCGGGATACAGGCTTCAGTTTGTTCGCCCATTCTCCTGTCTCCTCAGAAAAAGGCGGGGTTTGTGTGCTCGATGACGCAGCGCTTGCAGTGGCGCTTCACAAAGTGCAGTGCCTCCAGTGGCGCGTCGCAGTCCTGCACGTTGAGCAGCTGCAGGTCGAAGCAGTTGGCCGCCACCACCTGCAGCCCGCGGCCCGTGATGCTCTCGCACGACTTGAGGCTCAGCCGCTTCAGGTTGAAGCAGTTGAGCGCCAGCAGTTCCAGCCCTGCGTCCGACACCAGCGGGCACTTCCCGATGTCGAGCGACTTGAGCTTGGGGCAACTCTTGGCCAGGTACTCCAGGCCGTGGTCCGTGAGGCCCTCGCAGCCCCGCGCATTCAGGTATCGCAGCCGTGAGCAGTACTTAGCGACATACCGCACCCCGACGTCAGTGATCCTTCCGCAATGCGCCACGCTCAAGTAGCGCAACCGGCCTTCAAGCTTGGCGATCTCGCGCAGGCCGAAGTCGCTGACGTAGCGGCAGTCGCTGACGCTGAGCTCACGCACGGCCGGGCAGTAGATGACCAGGTAGCGAAGGCCCTCGTCGGTGAGGCGCATGCAGCGCCGCAGGTAGAGATGGGTGAGCTGGGTGCAGTGGGCGGCGATGGTGTGCAGGCCCTCGTCCTCCAGGGCCAAGCAGTCAGTCATGTCCAGGTAGCGGATGGAGATCTGCTGGCCGTGCATAGGCGATAGTTTGAGGGAGACCTCCCGCGTCAGACTGATGCAGGTTACCTTGGAGCATCCTATAGAGAGAGAGAGAGAGAGAGAGAGAGAGAGAGAGAGAGAGAGAGAGAGAGAGAGAGAGAGAGAGAGAGAGAGAGAGAGAGAGAGAGAGAGAGAGAGAGAGAGAGAGAGAGAGAGAGAGAGAGAGAGAGAGAGAGAGAGAGAGAGAGAGAGAGAGAGAGAGAGAGAGAGAGAGAGAGAGAGAGAAGTATTTAGGTGTATTCAGGATTTAGAGAGCATATCAAAACGACCAAGTAAAAAAAAAAAAATGTGAAATACAGTCGACCGCAGAACCCATTTATTACAAAACAGCCCCAACATTCAGAGCATAAGCCACTTTCCTTAGGCCCACTAATTGAATTTTATAGAATGCAGATGTCAGGTATTCCGCGTCCTGTCCAAAGTCAAGTAAGAGACCATTATACTCCCGTTTGTTTTAATTCCCAGAGCGATATTAAAAAGCAGTGCTCTATCTTGGGGAGAATTGAAACAGAAACATGACGACTACTAGGGGACTCGCCCAGGTTTTCTGGTTCCACCCCTTTGCTTACATTTTCACGAGAACATGACGGATGTTTTTAGTTGAGACTCGCATTTCTTCTTTCTCCAGACCATCCCTTCTTCAAAAACATTATGTTGAGTTGAGCACCTTTTAAAAGGCTTCTCTTTCCTTCCTTCTATAACCTCACTTTTGCTGTGCAGACTGAAACGTGGGATGCCCAGTTGACAGGAACAGGAAGCAGGGTACGACAGCTCTGAGATAGCAAGAAGAGCGATGTTTGAACATTCGGAAAGTGCAGAGCTGCCAAATAGGTTAGCTGATGGTCTTGCCTTTCGGAAGTGTACGAAGGCTATGAAGTGGATGGAATGGATTTGCATCAAGGGGAGACATCTGAGATCTGTTACTCCATCTTTCTTTCTTTTTTTTTTTTGGGGGGGGGGGGGGGGGGGGGGGGTAATGGTAGGAAGAAACAGAGCAGGGTTGTGTTCCACTCTGTTTCTGAACATTTTCTTCCATTTGAGGCCTAATGAACACAACCCAGATTCCTTCAACAGAGGGAACTCCAGCTGACCTTTGACACACACCGGGATGGCAACAATGTGCTCCGGCAGGAAGAAGGGCACAGGAAGTGGGAAATAAAACACCAGGAAAGAGACTGAAATAAGACAGGAGGATTTTTGGGGGGATCAAGTCGCATTCCATTCCCATATTCCATGGGCCTCCTCTCTGAAAACACTGGAGACAGAATGCAGTGAGCGTGTAGAGAGAGAGAGATACCGTGGCAAACAACACTGGGCTCTGGACAGTATTTTACCACAGATAACATAAGAAGGTTGTTGGGTTGTCTCAGCAGGAGACCTGGGTCAAATACGTACTGGTATTCATGTAAAATTTCTGGTGCACTTATCTTGAGATTTGCACTTTTAGGAGTATTCCATTGGTTTGTTCCATTGTGCCAGGAAAGCTAGTAATTGAAAGTATTAAATAATGACATTTGACATACAGTATGTATTTCCCCTAGGTCTGCTAAACTGGGTTGACTTGGACAAGGTATTGACTCAAAGAGGCCCTTTTCAAAGTGCTAGTCAAATTACGGTTGTGTTATAGGCATACATGTATTTTGACTAATCTTTCATAGATTATTCATTTGACTCGTGTCAGATTTTCAGCATGGGAAATAATACTAATATGTGAAGTAATGATGGACTGTCGTTTCTCTTTGCTTATTTGAGCTGTTCTTGCCTATCTTCTGTATACCCCCCCTACCTTGTCACAACACAACTGATTGGCCCAAACACATTAAGACACACCTGTTAATTGAAATGCATTCCAGGTGACTACCTCATGAAGCTGGTTGAGAGAATGCCAAGAGCGTGCAAAGCTGTCATCAAGGCAAAGCGTGGCTACTTTGAAGAATCTCAAATGTAAAATATATATACAGTATATATATTATTATTATTATTTATTTTTTTTATATTTTTTTTGGGGGGGGGGTAGATCGTAACTTCCATCAATGCAATTGTCTGCATCACTTCCAATCACCCATATGTTTTTTTCTCTCGCAAATATATATATATATATAGTTGAAGTCAGAAGTTTACATACACCTTAGCCAAATACATTTAAACTCAGTTTTTCACAATTCCTGACATTTAATCCTTGTAAAAATTCCCTGTCTTAGGTCAGTTAGGATCACAACTTTATTTTAAGAATGTGAAATGTCCGAATAATAGTAGAAATAATGATTTATTTCAGCTTTTATTTCTTTCATCATATTGCCAGTGGGTCAGAAAAATACATAAACTCAATTAGTATTTGGTAGCATTGCCTTTAAATTGTTTAACTTGGGTCAAACGTTTCGGTTAGCCTTCCACAAGCTTCCCACAATAAGTTGGGTGAATTTTGGCCCATTCCTCCTGACAGAGCTGGTGTAACTGAGTCAGGTTTGTAGGCCTCCTTGCTCGCACACGCTTTTTCAGGTCTGCCCACACATTTTCTATAGGATTGAGGTCAGGGCTTTGTGATGGCCACTCCAATACCTTGACTTTGTTGTCCTTAAGCCATTTTGCCCCAACTTTGGAAGTATGCTTGGGGTCATTGTCCATTTGGAAGACCTATTTGTGACCAAGCTTTAACTTCCTGACTGATGTCTTGAGATGTTGCTTCAATATATCCACATAATTTCCTTCCTCATGATGCCATCTATTTTGTGAAGTGCACCAGTCCCTCCTACAGCAAAGCACCCCCACAGCATTATGCTGCCACCCCCGTGCTTCACGGTTGGGATGGTGTTCTTCGGCTTGCAAGCATTCCCCTTTTTCCTTCAAACATAACGATGGTCATTATGGCCAAACAGTTCTATTTTTGTTTCATCAGACCAGAGTTCATTTCTCCAAAAAGTACAATCTTTGTCCCCATGTGCAGTTGCAAACCGTAGTCTGGCTTTTTTATGGCGGTTTTGGAGCAGTGGCTTCTTCCTTGCTGAGCGGCCTTTCAGGTTATGTCAATATAGGACTTGTTTTACTGTGGATATAGATAATTTTGTACCTGTTTCTTCCAGCATCTTCACAAGGTCCTTTGCTGTTGTTCTGGGATTGATTTGCACTTTTCGCACCAAAGTACATTCAACTCTAGGAGACAGAATGCGTCTCCTTCCTGAGCGGTATGACGGCTGCGTGGTCCTATGGTGTTTATACTTGCGTACTATTGTTTGTACAGATGAACGTGGTACCGTCAGGCGTTTGGAAATTGCTCCCAAGGATGAACCAAACTTTTTCTGAGGTCTTGGCTGATTTCTTTTGATTTTCCCATGATGTCAAGCAAAGAGGCACTGAGTTTGAAGGTAGGCCTTGAAATACATCCACAGGTACACCTCCAATTGACTCAAATGATGTTCTGGAATTTTCCAAACTGTTTAAAGGCACAGTAAACTTAGTGTATGTAAACTTCTGACCCACTGGAATTGTGATACAGTGACTTATAAGTGAAATAATCTGTCTGTAAACAATTGTTGGAAAAATTACTTGACAAAAAAAACTATAGTTTGTTTACAAGAAATTTGTGGAGTGGTTGAAAAACTAGTTTTAATGACTCCAACCTAAGTGTATGTAAACTTCCGACTTCAACTGTACATATACATACATATACATACATACATACATATACACATACATAAATATAAATACATATACATACATATATACATATCCTTTAAAAATATATATTTCCCTTTATTACCTTCCAACCCCACCACCCCTTCCCTAATTGGAGTAAACTAGTGAACAACAACGCTTAGGCCTCTACTTCCAGCTTATACATACTATATACATTTTATGGACACAATAATTATATTTAGTTTGTTTTTACTCCTGAACTTCCTCTACCCTCAACCTCTCCGATCATTTTCATGATGTCCATCCGAGTTTGCTTCTATATGCCATATCCTTCTAACTGTGCTCTTTCACAAAAGCTCTCAACCTATAACCTACAGTGAGGGAAAAAAGTATTTGATCCCCTGCTGATTTTGTACGTTTGCCCAGTGACAAAGAAATGATCAGTCTATAATTTTAATGGGAGGTTTATTTGAACAGTGAGAGACAGAATAGCAACAAAAAAATCCTGAAAAACGCATGTCAAAAATGTTATAAATTGATTTGCATTTTAATAAGGGATACTAGGGTTACTATACGATGTTAACCCATTTTATAAGAGATTCTCCAAAATTGAAATGCTCCAGGCATTTATATATAAACTCCAGTCGTACTTTATCAAATGTCATTTCAAAGTCTGCTATGAATAGCAGGCCTGGTTTCCCAGATTTTTCATAGTGTTCTATTGTTTCCAGCACTTGCCTTATATTATCTCCAATGTATCGTCCATGTAAAAAACCTGTCTGATTAGAATGAATAATGTCCGACAATACCTTTTTAATTATATGCGCTACACATTTTGCTAGAATTTTTGCATCACAACACTGAAGTGTAAGTGGCCTCCAATTTTTTAATGGACTGGATATTTATATTTTCCACTTGTATCCTGTTTCAGTAATTATTAAATCAGACCTTCTTCTTGAGTGTCTGATAATCTACCATTTACATAGGAGTGGTTAAAACATGCTAATAATGGTCCTCTGAGTATATCAAAAAAGGTTTGGTATACCTCGACTGTTATGCCATCCAACCCTGGAGTTTTCCCGGATTTAAAGTCTTTAATTGCATCCAGAAGTTCATCCTCTGTAATTTCACCTTAACATGAGTCTTTCTGTGTGGCTGTTAATTTCATATTATCAATAGAAAACAAAATCCCTACAATTAGCTTCAGTTAGAGGAGATGGAGGCGACTGAAACGAAAACATATGCTTAAAGTACTTTGCTTCCTCCTTCAAAATATCATTTGGTGAATCATGGGTGACTCCGTCATTTGTAACCAGTTTCAGTCAATTCTTTAAGGTAGCATTTCTATGTTGAAGATTAAAAAATAATTTGGTGCATTTTTCCCCATATTCCACCCAGTTTGCTTTATTTTTATAATATATTACACTTGATCTTTCTTGAATAAGTTTCTCCATTTATTTTTGTTTTCCCTCTAATTTATTCTGAGCCTCTATGTTACAGTTTTTATTGCTATCTATCTGTTCTGTTAGACCTTCTATTTCCTTTGTTAGTGTGGACTCTTTTAACCTAAATTGCTTTTGTTTTCGAGATGAGTACAGTATTCTATCGATTTGTTTAACACTTTTTTTGGTTACTACATGATTCCATATGTGTTATGTCATAGTTTTGATGTCTCCACTATTATTCTACAATGTAGAAAATAGTAAAAATAAAGAAAAACCCTTGAATGAATAGGTGTGTCCATACTTTATGAATTGACCACTTTACCCAAAGTTGCTCTGGTTTGTCTTCTTTAGAAGAACAATTCACAAGTTATTTTAATGTATCCCTTCCGTACTGGGAAATTAGTGCAAAGAGGTGGCCTTTCTGCAACCAATGATTTCTGAATGGGAGACTACCTCTCCAAGAGGAGGGTTGGCAGCTTAGACACATTAGTCACCATAATGATTTCTGAATGGGAGACTACCTCTCCAAGCTTAGACACATTAGTCACCATAATGATTTCTGAATGGGAGACTACCTCTCCAAGAGGAGGGTTGGCAGCTTAGACACATTAGTCACCATAATGATTTCTGAATGGGAGACTACCTCTCCAAGCTTAGACACATTAGTCACCATAATGATTTCTGAATGGGAGACTACCTCTCCAAGAGGAGGGTTGGCAGCTTAGACACATTAGTCACCATAATGATTTCTGAATGGGAGACTACCTCTCCAAGAGGAGGGTTGGCAGCTTAGACACATTAGTCACCATAATGATTTCTGAATGGGAGACTACCTCTCCAAGCTTAGACACATTAACCACCATAATGATTTCTGTATGGGAGACTACCTCTCCAAGAGGAGGGTTGGCAGCTTAGACACATTAGTCACCATAATGATTTCTGTATGGGAGACTACCTCTCCAAGAGGAGGGTTGGCAGCTTAGACACATTAGTCACCATAATGATTTCTGAATGGGAGACTACCTCTCCAAGAGGAGGGTTGGCAGCTTAGACACATTAGTCACCATAATGATTTCTGAATGGGAGACTACCTCTCCAAGCTTAGACACATTAGTCACCATAATGATTTCTGTATGGGAGACTACCTCTCCAAGAGGAGGGTTGGCAGCTTAGACACATTAGTCACCATAATGATTTCTGAATGGGAGACTACCTCTCCAAGCTTAGACACATTAGTCACCATAATGATTTCTGTATGGGAGACTACCTCTCCAAGAGGAGGGTTGGCAGCTTAGACACATTAACCACCATAATATCACAGAGCAGCAGGTTTATGTATTTAGGGCAGGAGGACTGGGTAAGTGTACTTTTCTTTCTTGTACTCACATCCACACTTGTTTGTTTTTTTTGACACTGATTCTGCTGACAGCGGGTATTGGCCTACTTGTGATAACTGTGATATGTGGTGTTTTTTTTTCCCCTACTAAACTTAGTTGAATATACTGGCAGTAAGTCTGCTAAATGATTAAAACGTTCACTGCAATGTAGACGTTTACCTGAGACGTCCAGGTGCTCCAGGTTGGGGCAGTGCGACACCACCTCGAACACAGCGTCGTTGGACACGTTATAGCAGCCTGCCACCTCCAGGCAGCGCAGCTCGGGGCAGCACTGGGCCACCGTGTGCAGCCCGCGGTCCGTCAACCTCCGGCACCCGCTCGCCACCAGCGTCTCCAGCATCAGGCACACATTGGGCGTGTCCTGGCAGAGGCGCCGCGTCAGCACCCGCAGCGCCCGGTCGACGTGGAGCACGTCCCCCGTCAGCCGGATGCTCCGCCACAGCCGGGGGTCCCACGCCAGGTTGTACCAGCGGCGGCAGACGCGGGCGCAGCGGCACAGCTGGTTGGTGGGCAGGCGGGCGAAGATGTCCAGGAAGATGTGGTCCGGCAAGAGGTCCATGGGCACCGACGCCCCCTGGTGGTGGTCCCGGGTGGCGCGGCGTCGTGAGTGGGTGGCGCAGAAGAGAGGGGGAGGGGCGACGGCATGCACCATGGCAACCGTCTCAGAGGAGGAGGTGGAGGAGGAGCTGTTGAAGGGGGCCGATGGGGGGAGGAGAGGGGAGAGAGGGTGGAGGTGGGGACGGGGAGGAAGGATGAGGGCAGGGCTTGGGGTGCTCAATGTCCGCATGCTCAGGTCCGAATCTGGGTGGGTGGGAGAGAGGGAGAGAGGGAGAGAGAGAGACAGAGAGACAGAGAGAGACAGAGAGACAGAGAGACAGAGAGACAGAGAGAGAGAGAGAGAGAGAGAGAGAGAGAGAGAGAGAGAGAGAGAGAGAGAGAGAGAGAGAGTGTGAGAGAGTTAATTGTTGCCTCTGTGTGTGTAAACAACATACTGTCAGGTGACCAATAGGAATGACTCTCTTTGTTCTCTGTGGCATAAAAGGCTTCAGAGTGCTCACACTGAGTTGACCTTATAGACAGCAGGGCTGCCTTTAGTAAGAAAAAACATACTGCAACCTACAATTAAACTGAATAATCATCCATAATGCGTAACCACTGACTACTTGAACTACATCGAGGATGGCTACTGTATCCATTGTACCCAGATGACCACTGGCTTACATCCCAGTTCAATGTAAACTTTCAGATGTGCAAAGCAGCACATATTATCTTAAGGGCAGCTGACAGAACCGCAAACCATGAATCAAAAATAATTCATTTCTACAAAGCATTAATCAAAATGAATTATTTTCTACAAACCATGAATCAAAATGAATTATTTTCTACAAACCATGAATCAAAATGAATTATTTTCTACAAACCATGAATCAAAATGAATTATTTTCTACAAACCATGAATCAAAATTAATTATTTTCTACAAACCATGAATCAAAATGAATTCTTTTCTACAAACCATGAATTAAAATGAATTATTTTCTACAAACCATGAATCCAAAAGAATTATTTTCTACATTTCAAATCAATGTTTGGGTATTTTGCACTACAGCAAATTAGGTACAAACTCTGTCTTATGGTTAAAACAGACAAGTCCCGTCTATTATGACCGTGGGCCTGAACTCTGCAGCGGTCCTACAATAGTCATGTCTATGCATCTCTGTTACAAGACGTCCTTGAAAGTACTTTTTCCCCAATGATCACTTACATAACTCTAATGACTTCAATGATAATGATAAGTTATGTCTAATTTGATTAGGTATAAATTGTTTAAATGGTCGTGGCAAAGTAGTCTGTCTGTCTGTCTGTCTGTCTCTGTCTGTCTCTCTGTCTGTCTGTCTGTCTGTCTGTCTGTCTGTCTGTCTGTCTGTCTGTCTGTCTGTCTGTCTGTCTGTCTGTCTGTCTGTCTGTCTGTCTGTCTGTCTGTCTGTCTGTCTGTCTGTCTGTCTGTCTGTCTGTCTGTCTCTCTGTCTCTCTGTCTGTCTGTCTCTCTGTCTGTCTGTCTGTCTGTCTCAAAGAGGTACTATAGTTAAAGCCTGTCTGTCTTCTCTATCTGTCACTCAGTATGTCTTTCTAATACATTAACTCAACCAAGTTGTGTTTAAAAAGCACCTGGTGTTTTCACTCGCATGGACGTTTTCTACATGTCACATGTTTGGTGGATGTGTTGCTGTAGGTACATGAAATCTGACCACTTGCTATTTTTTTTTTATTGGAGTAGGCGATCATCTCTTGCCATTCTCACCATGCCAGGGACCAACACACCAGGGTGTTCACCAGCCACAAAACAAGTTCAATGCCCATTCATGTGAATATACTATTATAGCCACAGCAATAACAACCCAAATCTTCCCTCTTTTTCATTTGTCATGGAGATTAGTATTCCAGACCCTTCTGAGGTTTATCCCCACACTCTGATGAAGAACACAGGCGCAACGTCTGACAAAATGCCCTCGAAATGTCAAGTTATCCAGACTGAAACGAACAAAAATGGCCTCGGCAGCAACACCTTTCTTTTTTCATTAGGCCAACAACTAACTTTTTCAATCTTTGAATACAGATTGATTCTACCAAATCCAACACCAGATTCGTTGCATAGATTGAATAATAAAACTCAATGAACTGGCATGTCCATGTCCTTGTCCTTGAACCGGGCCAAGCATTTCCACACCGAAACAAGAAGTGCCGACAACAGCGTGCTGTGATACAGTCTTTGAGTTAGTTCAGTAAATGACCCAAAAACAACAATGTAACCAAATTGCATCGTTTCAGTCCCTTCATTTTGATCATGAATACAGGACATAGGGGGTGATGGACCAGGAGGAAAGTCCATCAAACATTGTGGAGAAAAAACTTGACCAAACACATAAGCTAATGTGCCTTGCAAAAGTATTCATCCCCCATGGCGTTTTCCCTAGTTTGTTGTATTGCAACCTGTAATTTAAATTGATTTTAATTTGGATTTCATGTAATGGACATACACAAAATAGTCCAAATTGGTGAAGTGAAATGAAAAAAATAACTTGTTTCAAAAAAATTGAAAAATAAATAACAGAAAAGTGGTGTGTGCATATGTATTCACCCCCTATGAAGCCCCTAAATAAGATCTGGTGCAAACAATTACCTTTAGAAGTCACATAATTAGTTAAATAAAGTCCACCTGTGTGCAATCTAAGTGTCACATGATCTGTCACATGATCTCAGTATATATACACCTGTTCTGAAAAGCCCCAGAGTCTGCAACACCACTAAGCAAGGGGCACCACCAAGTAAGCGGCACCATGAAGACCGAGGAGCTCTCCAAACAGGTCAGGGAAAAAGTTGTGGAGAAGTACAGATCAGGGTTGGGTTATAAAAAAAATATCTGAAAAACCTTGAACATCCCACGGACCACCATTAAATCCATTATTAAAAAATTTAAAGAATATGGCACCACAACAAACCGGCCAAGAGAGGGCCGCCCACCAAAACTCACGGACCAGGCAAGGAGAGCATTAATCAGAGAGGCAACAAAGAGACCAAAGATAACCCTGAAGGAGATGCAAAGCTCCACAGCGGAGATTGGAGTATCTGTCCATAGGACCACTTTAAGCCGTAAACTCCACAGAGCTGGGATTTACGGAAGAGTGGCCAGAAAAAAGCCATTGCTTAAAATAAAAAAATAAGCAAACACGTTTGGTGTTCACCAAAAGGCATGTGGGAGACTTCCCAAACATATGGAAGAAGGTACTCTGGCCAGATGAGACTAAAATTTAGCTTTTTGGCCATCAAGGAAAACGCTATGTCTGGCGCAAACCCAACACCTCTTATCACCCCGAGAACATAATCTCCACAGTGAAGCGTGGTGGCAGCATCATGCTGTGGGGATGTTTTTCATAGGCAGGGACTGGGAAACTGGTCGGAATGATGGATGGCGTTAAATACAGGAAATTCTTGAGGGAAACCTGTTTCAGTCTTCCAGAGATTTGAGACTGGGACGGAGGTTCACCTTCCAGCAGGACAAAGCATACTGCTAAAGCAACACTCAAGTGGTTTAAGGGGAAACATTTAAATGTCTTGGAATGGCCTACTGAAAGCCCAGACCTCAATCCAATTGAGAATCTGTGGTATGACTTCAAGATTGCTGTACACCAGCGGAACCCATCCAACTGGCAGGAGCTGGAGCAGTTTTGCCTTGAAGAATGGGCAAAAATCCCAGTGGCTAGATGTGCCAAGCTTATAGAGACATACCCCAAGAGACTTGCAGCTGTAATTACATGTTCTACTTTGACACAAATATTGTGGAACAAACTCGCCTTTTTAGCAAAAAAGATTCAGTCTATTGTTATGGTCCCAGCCTCGGATTGGGTGTGCACTTGCCATCCCATGTACGAGCCCCCACAAATTCATGAAGTACCGACTGTTAGACTGTGCCTCAATTTACCACATGTTTTGCTTCCCTGCACGGACATCACAGTATAAGGAGTTTTGAAGTAAATGTTTCTACTATTGAGTTTGTTATGGTCTCATTTGACGCAAGCGTAGCTTATAGGGGCAGCTAAAGACAAGAACAGGACTGGACCTTTTCAAACACAACTGGTTTAAATGCTCAAAAATGAGATTTTGTCTGAGAAAAGGCATTTCCTTTGAGATAATAAAAAACCGATAACCAGTTTAACTGATCTCAAAAGACGTCAGTTGAGAATGCAAAGAATGCAATTTTTGCCAACCAGAAAAGAAGGTGTGGGAGTCCTGCAAACACTCAAGTTAATCTAAGGCTAGTCGACCCTGTCCCCGTATAGCTAGCTAGTAGCTACACTGTATGATGAAGTTGGCCCTTTCACCGTTCATCATTTTAAACCTCAATAGTCAAGTTCTGGATTTGGTTAGAGGGTAAGGTAGCATATATCCTAGATCTGTGCTTGTGAAAAGCATTAACCAGGTGTCAGCCAAGTTGTTGCTTACAGAGAAAAACATATGACACTTGTCTCCAAAACAGGACTTCTGAGCTCACTGAAATGTAAGGCCGATAGATCTGTCGACCAACCGTTCTTGCGATCTTGATGATTGACAAAAATAAAGGACAATATCATGCCTGTCACGTGATATATCTACAATATGGCAATTAGAGCACTCAATGAAAATGGAGGAAAGGAATATGGCCTCTTTCATCTCATGAGAGTTTTAACAGTAATTGCTCCAAAATACGAGAAGCACTGAGATTACAAGCTTATCTCACATACTGGACCCATTGTTGCAGTCTGTAAAGAATCTTTCCCCCTTTGAAAGTCGAAAATTAGATGTTTTGAGCGTGGGCCAAGCTACACATTCTCGGTGGGCTCCTTGAGTCCCGTCGTGAAGGTGAGTAAGAGGTCAAGCCCGTTGTTTACTTTCAAGAAGTTTCCATGAGGTGTGTGGTCAGCAGAAGTTTCACTCAAAGCATTTGGATGGGTGTAATCATGGGCTATAAAAAAGGGAGTTTCTCCTCTTATATCTTCCAGCAGTCCTTTCCTTTAGGGTCAAGGTTAATTAATCCTTTCATCCATGAAATGAGGTGAAGAAGTGCGCATTTAGGGAGAATGGACAGAGAATTGGCACGCAGGACATGTCATTCTTACAGACCTAGGACGTAACGCTAACTTGAGACATACTATATAGGAAGTAAAACACTATATTGTTCCCTCTGTTTGGTGCTTTACAAGTTCTGAAAAGGTAGGCCTATACATAATGTGACAATCCCTGTATGTTTTGCATTTCCCCCCTCTCTCACTCACTTCATCTCTCTTTCTTTCTGTTTCTATATCTCTCTCCTCTCTCTCTCTCTCTCTGGTGTCTTTTAACAAAATTCAAGGCTACCCTTCTGACATATCTCCAGGTCTGACAGTTGTGTATATTTCACACGTCAATCGTGATCACTTTTCTCGGCGACTCAAAAAAGAAATTCAGAGGCCACTCTTTGCATGATAGCCTATTGAGTTTCACCAGGAATTCCTCATATGTTTTGCATGAAGAGAAACAGACAGTGATGTCACAGGTCATTATTCACTTGTAGCGACACAGAGGCTTGAGCCATTGGTTTCTATGGTAACCTGATTCACCACAGCACCCTGGCTAACATGCTAGTAGGAGACAGGAGACTCACAACAGCACCCTGGCTAACAGGCTAGTAGGAGACAGGAGACTCACCACAGCTCCCTGGCTAACAGGCTAGTAGGAGACAGGAGACTCACCACAGCACCCTGGCTAACAGGCTAGTAGGAGACAGGAGACTCACCACAGCACCCTGGCTAACAGGCTAGTAGGAGACAGGAGACTCACCACAGCACCCTGGCTAACAGGCTAGTAGGAGACAGGAGACTCACCACAGCTCCCTGGCTAACAGGCTAGTAGGAGACAGGAGACTCACCACAGCTCCCTGGCTAACAGGCTAGTAGGAGACAGGAGACTCAACCACAGCACCCTGGCTAACAGGCTAGTAGGAGACAGGAGACTCACCACAGCTCCCTGGCTAACAGGCTAGTAGGAGACAGGAGACTCACCACAGCTCCCTGGCTAACAGGCTAGTAGGAGACAGGAGACTCACCACAGCACCCTGGCTAACAGGCTAGTAGGAGACAGGAGACTCACCACAGCACCCTGGCTAACAGGCTAGTAGGAGACAGGAGACTC